GGCACATGAGGGAATTCATTGAAACGAAGAGGTAGGTACAGATTAGCTAAAGAGGTACGATAAAGAACAGAACCTGAACAAAACGTAAGTTGTAAATATTTAACGTCTGGGTGAATTTCTGTCAGTTGATTCTAGGAAGGAACCAGGTTTTCCGTTCTCATTTAAACTGATCCAAGGTTTAAGAACCACGGTAAACAAAAGCAGACTCTCGGCAATTAAACTAAAAGAAGATGCTCTGTACAACTGCAGAACTAGAGCCCTTCAAATATGAGAGCACATAAACCTACTCTGAGACTATCATGATTCTAAGAGAACAGAGAAAAACTGGCTATCACAATACAAAACATATTAAAAAATTTAAGACTTCTGTAAATTTAATAATAATATGGACTTTAAAAAATTTCAATAATGAAAACAATGGTAATAATATTGCCATTAAACTGAGCAAACTGAAGTGATTCTTTTGATAAGGACAAAAAACATATTGTACCAATTTTTATAAACGTGTAATTTTAAAGGGAGCATTCAAACTTTTAACTAATAAATGCTAATTGTACACTGCCGGTAAGTGAACAATAACTAATTAAACATATATGTTTAAAGCTTATTAATAGGAGCAACTTTTCTATAAGCGCCATATCTATCAGTATTTACAGACCCAACAAAATTTTACTTAAACTTTAGACAGAACATTGGAAACTCGTGAAAGTTTATGTTTTAACTGATTATGTGTTTTGTTTGTTTAAGGTTACAATAAAAAAATATCTAATTTTGGAGGAATTTTACTGCTCTTTTCACTGATGTAATCAAATTTATAGTAGGATTAATATTTTATGAGGTACGGAGGCTTTATTGGGAAAAGTTGTGAAAGGTTGAAGTAATACGAATAATGAAATATCTCGAATAGAATTTAGAACTATGGACAATGAGGGCTTTTTAACCCCATTTGACAAGTAAAATTAACATCCTGAAGTATCGACGTTTGTACCAGGGTCATCCTGTAGAATGATGTATGCCATCTATGATAAACAGCGAAGGAATAATAAATTCAAAATAGTCGATTATATTTAGAGAAAAAAATCAGATAAGAGCAAATTGGAGAAAAGAACGTATTCTTCCACCTTGGAAAAAATATCCTTTTTACCTGAACTCCGAATAATTAAAAAAGTAATAATAAATAAATACAGCCATATGGAATATGGAACAAATACAAGCTATTATGCAGGCTTATCATCAATCTTATTTTGGTGGACTCTTTTAACTTTCCTTTTTTTCTAAAAACTAATTGTAATTTAAAAAAATCAGTTGGTAGAATTATTAATGAATAGGACAATGAAATTTCTGTAGAATATAAAAGAAGAAGAATGATTTCTTTTTATTGTCTAAACTACTAACGCGTACAGAAAAAAATACTTTAGTTATTAATAGTCTATTAATTCGTGTTTTCTTTTCATTTTGTTTTGTCATCCTGCATTTGTTTATAGTATGAACGTGCACTGTCAAGTAAAGCTGGAAAGTTTCGGCTTTTATTGTTCACAGACAAGAATCCACTGGAAGTGAATGACCCATTTGAAATTCCATAAAACGCACAAGACCTTCGTGGCAAACGTTTCTCGCTTTGGAACAACAAGAGTTGGTCGTCCAGGCACAAACCGTCGTTTTACGGCGTTGGAGTTGTTAAAATAGATCTACTTTTTATGTTAAGAGACAGATTCGTTTGACCCAACGCTTCAGAAGATGCTTCGGATGCTTGAAAGAACCTGCTGCCTGAAAAGCTTTGCACGTGCTACGTTTACACATATGTCAACAATCATTTTAGGATTCACCGCTTTCATCCTGGGTTCATGTTTTCTTCCACTTTGTTAGATACAATAGTTTAAATTTTTGCTTTAAAAACCTTTCTCGAACCATTCACTAGCATAAATAACAGAAAAATAAAAATAAATTGTTAAGTTTAAAGTTTAAGTTTTTAAATTATTAAGTTTTAAAAGGATCCAGCTTGACTACAGCCAAAAGATAAAAGTCACTGAAGACTTTCAAAAAGAGCCTAAACCTACAGAACAGAACTAAGAAATGATACAAAAATAACCGTCAGTCATGAAGGAGAATAACAAAAATTACATCCCCCATCATAACCAAAATTTCATGTATAAAGTATTTTTTCCAGAAAAAAAAAACGAAATAAAAACAACTCACAGTGTCTTAGCAGTCGAATATTTCCCTAAATGGATATAATTGCGACCGATGATATCGAAAATGAATTCACCCCCCCCCACCGTTTTTCGCTACAAAGGGAATTGCTTCGCACCATTTCCCCGATTGATTTTGTTCTGGAGAATTCTTGCCGGAACGCGAGCCTCCCTCCCGGAGCAGGGCCCTTGATTTCCTTCTATCCTTATCCGCCGGGACTTGCTTTCCCTGTATTTTCCCTCCAGACCCGGTCGATGCACGTCTACCGGTTGACACATCGTTATGGGAAACGCCCCCCGGGTACAATCGTCGTTGAAGAGTTTTTCAAATATTGGCAGGTCATTTGGAACACTACGGTTCAGTCTATAGAAAAAAAAAAGTTTTTATTTGCCATGTTAATTCTTGTACTAACATTTTCAGAGACAACAACTCATAACTCCATTTTGTACCGAAAAAATTCGTCTTTTTTCATTAATCACAATCAACTATGCCAATTAAATATCTTCTATCCAAGACTCTAAAATTACATCTGAACTAAATCTTAGTATTTCTTTGCCAAACTGTCCATTCAGGGCCACCTGTTACACCTCATCTCATCAGAATAGAATCATTTGACAAATAGACCTATTTTTGCTACCATGAAGAAAGCAATGCTACGACTTTTAACACCAGTGCTGTCCTTGAAGTTCCCTTGGATCGATCACCACTACATACTTCATCCTTGAAAAAGCTATATCCACAATTCACAGGCTAACGCACGTATAGGCTCCAACAGCCTACCATAAAAAGTTTCAATTAGGCTTAGTGTAGAACTTCGTCTGGATAGGGTTCAAATCAAAATACGATACAGCAGAGTTGCAGCATACAGAGAAAAAGGGATCGCAGTTAATACGGATTATACTTGTTATTCAGATAACCTATTTTTCTTTTTTAATTTGATTTTATTTAATACAATCTGCAAATCTTCATTGCAAATTAATTTGAACATACATGTTCAAGGACATATGTGTAGCTAAACTGCTCAAAAATGAATGGGGATATTTGTTTATTCTTATTATTTTAATGTCAATTAAATTAACAGGAATATTCTTGTTATTGTTGATTAAAAAAATAGAAAATTCAAACCAAAAAGAAAGAAATGTCATAATTTGCAATAACTTCACTAATTTCGTGGTCCGCTTGACCAATTAATATATTACAATTAATTAAGGTTTTTAGTTGAGATAAAAAGTCAATGGCACGAGCGGGATTCGNTTAGGGTTAGGAGTTGGATTTGGCCAACACACTGAACTATTACAATTAATTAAGGTTTTTAGTTGAGATAAAAAAGTCAATGGCACAAGTGGGATTCGAACCCACGATCTTCGGCTAGATACGCCGCTGCTCTACCACTTGAGCTATCGTGACCTCGATCCACTCAGACACTAACTTCCCATCTCAACCGCACCTTTTAAATTTGGTTTGAAAATGGCAAAAAGGAGGGAAAATTCAAAAGGTGCGGTTGAGATTGGAGGTTGGTTTCCGAGTGGATCGAGGTCACGATAGCTCAAGTGGTACAGCAGCGGCGTATCTAGCCGATGATCGTGGGTTCGAATCCCGCTCGTGCCATTGACTTTTTTATCTCAACTAAAAACCTTAAATAATTGAAATTTTTAATAACGTATTTACTTAAGAACAGTAAACATGAAGTTTAATCATTTTATAAACAAACACCTTTTCTCGTCTTTTCTTCGTTTCAATCCAGTTGTATTCTCTTTAACCATGGAAAGACTACATCTCGAACCAGTTCACATTATTATTGTGAGAATGAACCATCGAGGTTACCGGCAAGTGGATTTTGTAGAGGCAGTTGGCGTTTCCCAGAACGTGGTCTCCCGGGCTTTGGTCCGATTCCGAAGTGCCAATAGTGCATCTCAACGCATTACCACGCTAAAGGAGGACAGAAATATGTATTGTCATTACTGCAATCGTATGTGGGAAGTTGGCCTCACATCTTATGCCCCTCTCGCTCAACAACAAGCAATTCAGGAGAATATGGTGCAGCGAGCACTAGGTTTACTGATTAGTCCCGTTTCTGTCTGAATAGTGATAGCGACGAAGAGTCTACCGAGAACAGGGGATACGTACAATGCACAAGTTCGTGCTCCATTCGGTGCAGTTTGGAGGAGGCGGTGTAATGGTCTGGACTGGGATTTACCCTGGAGGACGAACTGGACTCCATATTGTTGAAGGTAACCTCACCGCAGTCCGTTCTCTCGATTTTATCGAAGAAACAGGGATCTCGTTGGATCTGGTTTGGGGTTGGGATTTTTGATTTCTTGTTGACAATGCAGACCTCACAGAGGCCGAGGTGTTCATCAATTTTTCACAATTTCCCATTGCCCCTTTCCCCATTTTGTACAGACCTCATTCCCATTGAGTACATGTGGGATGCGTTGTAGAGAACGCTTCTCGATTACCGAAGCAGCCAGTTGACCTGCAACTTTTGATTTGTCAGACTTTTCACCATCATCAGTGGTCGGTAGGTAATATTTTCATCTGTAACCCGTCTTTTCCCATTTCAATAGAACGCACCGGACAAATAACGTACGACATTCCACTGTTTATGGCTAAAGATTAAAACGAAAAAACAGTTTGAACAGGAAGATCAAAGTGACTGGTTCAGAAATAATAGACCCCCAAAAAGAAGTCTTTCTGGGGTTGCTCATTTCTGCCGTTTTCAGGAATATATTAATCAAATGTTTCAACAATAAATATGTATTTGTCCTTATAGCAGATGGCAGGTTGTAATGAATGAAATTTTGTTTCAGACATACCGGAGACAAATATTTCCCTGGGGACTTCCCTCAGGCCTGACGCGATCCGAGAAGGTACCGACGTGTACTTCGACTGCATGGTCAAAGCTGAGCCTAGCGTTTACAAAGTCGAATGGAGGCACAACGTAAGTAACATATGTTTTATAAATATCAGTAAATTAATCGATTAATTATAGTGAACGGTGTAATATTCAAAAAAGGCTATGTTATCTATGTGACAACACACATCTACAAGTGTGATTTTATTAGGGGGCACTTTTTCTGCTGTCGGACAATTCATCACTTGCCCAGTGAATAACTTTTTAACCCTTTCAATGATTAATAACCAGCCCTGATTTATGGCGATTTGAACAAATAGAGTTGAAAACGTTGATACCAAATTTAAACAAAAGAGCTGACCAATTGATCGTCAGAATTATAAAAAAAGAACATTGGCAACTGAATGATATCAAACGCAGGCAAGCCAAACAATATTTTTTTGTTATATAAATATCAAACATGATTGACCTTTTTCAATTTCATTTCTATACCTTTCAAGTACACAAAAAACGTGTTTCAAGACTCACTAGATTGTATTCATGAAACTTCGATGCAAATAAAACATTCTCCATAACTTCTATTAAAAATATATTTTACTTTTTTGCGTGTGACTTTTTTTAAATTTTCTTTTTCGTGTTTTTGCTTGGAACGAAATTCATAAGTTATCATGCTATAATAAATTATATGTTGAATGGTTGAATGAAACATCGTTTGCCTTGATATAACACAACGTGATACCATTTGCTTTTAAATTTGCAATAAGAGAAGGCTTTCCTTTCAAGAAATAAGACTTGAATGCCATCCGGCAATTAAAGGAAAATATAAAAAGGACACAAACAGGAACAAAGTGAGTAGGCAATTTTAAAGAGAAGAACGGTGGACCGGAAAGTTGGAACTGGGTAGAGCGTGAAGGTAACGCTAATTTTGCAATTAGGTCTGATTCTCGTCGTCAATTACCAGGCTATAAAAGCACTCCCGACCCATTTAGTTTTTAATTGCCGTCCTCCACTTCACGTGGAGGTAATAATATTCTAAAGAAGCCAATATATCTTCATTAAACGTCCAAGTGACATCCGGAAAATTGGGTTTCCACCCGGTGGTCTGAAGAGGGAGAGAGAGGAAAGAAATTTCGCCGAAAATAAAGCCGAGGCCTAATTCTAAGCGAGAGAGAAAACATCTATCATCAAAAGCGAGAACGTTTTTGTAAATTGTGTTAGCTATTATGATTTGAGTACATATTATTGTATTTTGAGATTAAAATTTACAGAGCATCCTGCAATTTACACTTACAAATGTTCTCGTTCAAAAAATCCTAAGTCTTGATGAAAGAAATATAATTTTCGATATCTTGACGAAAGAACTGAGTGTTTTTCATTCTCAACCTTTATCCTCAAAAAGGAGGTAAAATTCAAAAGTTGGAGTCCGAGTGGATCGAAGTCACGTTAGCTCAAGTGGTAGAGTAGCGGCATATCTAGCCGTAGGACGTGGGTTCGAATCCCGCTCGTGACACTGACTTTTTTATCTCAACTAAAAACATTAAGTAATTGGAAAATTATCCTTATCCTTGATCTTTTATATAGAAGTTATTCAAAAAAAGCGTACAACTAAGATACACGATAATCCCAAAAATTCGGCGTGACCTATTATGCTACATTGCTTTTTAAAAGAACCTTACTATACCAATTATCTCAATGCAATTGTTATTATCGTTTATTTTTTTCATAAGCCCTTCATTTAAATTTTATGATAAAAAACAGGACTAAGGACAATTAGAAAGAAAAACATTTCGTCGAGCTTTCAAGAAACAAAACTCCTTCATCAAGATTTATGTGATTTTCCTTTTTATCACTATGTAAATATATAAATTTAAAAAATAAAACCTGCTCTTTTAGGATAGTCTCAGTGCCTAACAGGTCGCGAGGGTACTGCCGTTTTCATCCTTACGCGCCGCGACCAATAAGCGTAACCCAATTCTATTTATATTTTCGGAAAACATGCTGTTTTTTTCCTACCGAAGTGGTTGAATTTTCTCAAGTTTGTTTGAACTGACATTTAAGCAATTACAGTTAAAAATCGAAAGAATTCTTTTCAGGATGTAAATAGACGCAGTGTAGCCAAAAACATCAGCGAAAATAGGAAATATCATGATTTACTAACCAGGTTTTGCAAGTGGTAAACGTTTTAAATAATTAAAATGTATGAAAGTTATTGGTTGAGATAAAAAAGTCAGTGTCCCGAGCGGGATTCGAACCCACGACCTTCGACTAAATACGCCGCTGTTCTACCACTTGAGCTATCGTGACCTCGATCCACTCGGACACTAAGTTCCCATCTCAACCCAACCTTTCGACTTTTCCCTCCTTTTGCCATTTTTCAAATGTCGTGTAATCTATTTGATTCTCGGCGACAAATGAAATGGCCACGGAGAGCTTTAGTGAAGATGCACTTCTTTTAACTTATTAAATTCATTAGATATCGTGATCACGATAGCTCAAGTGGTAGAGCAGCGGCGTATTTAGCCGAAGATCATGGGTTCGAATCACGCTCATAACACTTACTTTTTCATCTCAACCAATACTTTTCATTAAGATTAATTAACTGAAAAAAGTTAATTGGTCAATCGGACCACGAACTGTAATGGTTTTAAATAATAGTTTATCGTTTTTGTGCATTGGGGTTTAATTTATCATTTATTAATTGACTATCTTACGGTGATAGTTGATAAAATAAAATTAGACAAAATGGATCCAACAACAATTCTTTACTTCTAACAACACTGCTGTCATTGAATTTTCACAATAGATCATCTTTTTTATTTATAATATTTATTTTTATAAATTCTTTAAAGTAGTCTTTACATTTGATAATTAATCATTGGATATATGAATATTTTGAGAGTTAAAAATGACCTAAAATGAAGAGGAAAAAAAAGATAAATGGAACGCGTGCTATCGCGAGCCAACAGCGAACCCTGGGCGTGTTGACGGCATTCATTAATAAGCCAAAGTGTTTTAGAAATGTCATAAAGTTTATAAAAGTGAATTGGCTTTCAAAAATATCTGGCTTTTCACTTGTGCAAAGTTGTATTTACAAGCAATAAATCTATTTCCGGTTAAGCAAACCCAGACCAGAGGGAGGTTCTGTTTCCATTGGCCGCAATTCGGGGGTCCGTGAGGATTAAATTTAATAATAAAGAAATACACACGGTGGTCAAAGCCGGCTCACTCAACAGACTATAATGCTTCCCCGTCGTAATTTAATTCAACATTACTACAAAAATCAATAATATGTATGTCCTGTTTTTATATTGGGCAAGAAATATAATTTTTTCATTAACAAACATTGTAATACTAATTATATTATACAAGTCTAATCAGGATATATTGGTAAGAGAGGGATCGGGATGCCCGCTGCCGGGCTGGGGCGCTTTGGGGTTCTGAAGGTTTCTGGTCCCGAGCCCATTACTCAGCTCCTCAAAAAATATACATATATGGCCAATCAGCTCAGTATTTACAGTTAATTAAAGTGCAATCTACTGCTGAATGTTTTTTCCTTTTTCTTCTTCTTTGGGAACACCGGTGACCAAAGTCTACCTTTCTTCCAATTTGTCTTAGATCTCTTAGGAACCCTTCATTATTTTCTAACCTAAAAAGAGGCCGAAGAGGCTTTAGAGTCACAGGACATGTTTTGACATTTCATACTCTTCACGACAGTCTCAGCTTTCTCATTTTTAAGGTGGTAATTAAATCAAAATGGCGAGTATAAAGATGTTTTATTTTCCTTAATTCTTGCCACTGAAAGTGTGGTAGATTATTGTTTTCCTGGTTGAGATCCTGAGAATGAAAAATACTTTGATTGTTTTGTACTTTCTGGAATCAAACGGTTCACATCCTCTTTCAGCATGCCTTTGAGGTTACCAATTTGCGGTTTTGGTTCAAAGGGTGTGAGGCCAGGTCCTCCTTTTACAACTTTGTCAGCTTATTCGTTGCCTTCAATCCCTTCGTGTCCCGATACCCACTTTTTGTACCTGGTTTCGTTTTCCCAGGAGCTGAAAATATATTAAACATTCCCAAACGAGCTTTGAATTAAAAGTGGAACATTAAGGCTTTTCGTACAATTGGCTGTCTGATAATATCATCCTGTACTATTTAATCCTTTTTTGTAAGTAGTCCTTTTGTACAGAGTTCTATTGCATGGCTCACAGTATGGAAAATTTATCGTGGGGTTAGTTTGGACTTAGAGGACCTAGAAATTTTGCTAAGTCAAAATTTCAGTCTTTGACTTCTGCCAACACTCCACGTTCCATGTTAGATCCAATCTAATATTTCAAGTGTTTTATACTTTCATCCTTGTCGTTATTTTTAATTCACTAATTTCATTTTGTCAGACATTTTTGTATCTCATTTATTTGATTTTTTTTTAAATTTGATGATGGCTTATTCTTAGATCGGGTTTTATTTTACTTTTTCCTAAGAATCTGCTTGGACTGTCGCATGCCATCCTCTGGATTTATGTATGCAATGGCAGCAATCCCAGTATCACATCTATTGCTGATGTTAATCATAGAGTTTTTTAATTGATCCAAAAAGATAGCCCACCCAATATTTTTTCTCTTAATCAATTTTAACCATTGATATAATTTTTTTATTGATATAACTTTTTGTATTTATTTTGAACCGATTTTCTCCATTAGGAACTGAAAAAAAATACTTTGTAAGAATTAATGAATAATACTTGATTTAGGGTGAGACAAAAAGGTAGCACACTTGTTGTTTATTTACAAACAAAACCAAATCCCTCTGAGTAAACAAGGTAATTCAGTTCAGTATCTGCATTTATATTAGTGCGATGGGACGAGCAAAACCATTAACACCAGCTGAAAAAATATCATTCAGCGAATGAAAAATCGAGGATTTTGTATTTTCAGTATTTCAAAAAATACCGGTAGGAGTAGGAAAGTAATTTTAAATTTTTTGAAGTCTCCAGAAATCTATGGGACGAAGAAATCTCCTAGAAGACCACCGGCCTTAACAACAAGGCAAAAAAGGGCAATTTTAAGGGTTGCATCCAACTCAACTTTAACGGCCCGTCAAATTGCTGCGAGAGCTGGTGTAGTGACGAATGTGAAAAACGTCCAAAGGATCAATCGTGCAGTTCCTCACATCAAAAGAATGAAAATGAAAGGCATTCCACCTCTAAGCACGGCGTATAAAGAAAGAAGAAAGGACATGTCCAATGGAAAGACGAATGGAAGGATGTCCTGTTCACCGATGAAAAAAAATTCAATCTCTCGATGGCTGGGCTCACTATTACCATGACTTACGGAAAGAAGAGAGAGTGTTTTCCAAGAGGCAAATGGGAGGAGGCAGCGTCATGATATGGGGTGGTATTCGCTATGATCACAAAACTGATATTGTGTTTATTTCTGGTCAAATGAACAGCCAAAAATATGTTAATTTGTTAGAAAACCAATTAAAAAAATATTTTGAACTTGTTCCTAAAGAGAACGTAATTTTTCAGCAAGATAATCCTCCAGTTCACACGGCAAAAGTTGCAAAAGAATTTTTTAGAAAAGAAAGGATCAGAATTATAGATTGGCCGGCTAGTTCCTCGGATTTTAATATCATCGAAAATATATGGGACATCTTGCTAGGAGTGTTTACAGCGGTAGCCGACAATTTCAGGGCGTTGAAGAATTCAAAAAAACAATTCAGGAGGAGTGGGCCAAACTTCCACAAGAGATGATTCGTCGTCATTTTGACTCGCTTTTAAATCGTATGATTGCTGCATTAGAAAAAGGTGGTGCATATACACGATATTAAATTTAATTTGTGTTATTTTAATTGTGTTTTAATAAAGAATTTTATTATTATTATTATTCACTGTGCTATCTTTTTGTCTCACTCCAAATCTAGTATTAGTTATTAATTCTTACAAATTTTTTTTTCAATTCCTAAGGGAGAAAATCGGTTCAAAATACACTACATATTAATAAAAAAAATTATATCAATGGTTAAAATTGATTAAGAGAAAAAATATTGGGTGGGCTTTTGTCCCGGACCTTATATCTTATTTTCTCATGTCACCACAGGTGTAATCGTTGTACATAGCGGTCAGGCTATTTTTGGTTTTATACCCCATTTTTACTAAAAATGTTTACACCACACTATAGCCTTCGCTTATTCAATTATTTCTGTTTGTATTTTTTTTCCAGAAAAGCTTTTGATCTAATGTTATTCTTAGCTAATTCTTTTTCCTGGATAAAATTATATTTGTATGCTTTCAAAAGGCTGCTTTTAGGTTAAGCAACCGTCTCTTTGTGAAAGATATTAATGTGATTTTGTTCCGGTTGACACCTACACCCATGTTCTTACATGCCTTTCCTCTATGAGGACATTTGCATTTAAGATTGAATAGTTTCAAATAAACAGCCCTTTATTATTACTTTTATTTTTATTTTTTTATTATTGCTTATTTCTTTCTATCCATGATTTGATCAACTTGTTCTACCAGACATTTAGGGCAGTTTCCGTGAATTTTTCCCTCTGGCGTGCTGCTGAAAGATGATCTTCTTTTATCTCTAGCCCTGTTATCTTCACCATTGAGAATACTACTTCGGAAATTCTCAAAATTAATAAATCGGTTTGAAATTAAAGAGAAAGTAATTCGTATTTACTATTACTTGTACAATTATTACCATGCATATTGTGTTATTGAATGATTTTATATTAAACATGGCAAAAACTTCATATGAAGTTCAAACAACTTCATATTTTAACTACAAAATTCACGAGTAATTAAAGGAAAGCTCAAAAATTGTAATCAATTTTTTATTAAAAAAATAATAATGCTGCTAAATTGTCAACTTCATATTAAAGAACTATGTTTGCCCTCATTTGTTTATTTGTTAACGTTTTTACTTAACCAAACCATAAATGCCACATTCAAAATTAGAGACTTCATTCGCTTTATTTACTTAATTAATACAATTATAATACATTTAATAGTCATCAATTTACAATTTTGAAAAGTTTTGTCACGCCGAATTCAGCGGTGTATACGGCTTTAATTTGGAACAACTGTTCTCAAGTTATTTGTAAGAAAAACTGTTTTCGAATATTGTTTTTCGGAAAAATTAAATCTTCTCCCACTTCCTCAACCAAAAACCAAGAAATTTATTTCTAATTTGAATTAATGGTAAAATAATTGTTTCACTTGTTTCAAAACTTTGCAACAATGTCCACAAATAACCTCGACTAGCAACTGATGTAGCTCATTAAGCGAGATTCAGCCTGGTGCAAATTTCGGTCGACGATGATAAATTACATTATTTTAGTTTATCTTCTAATAAAAAAAATACGCTGACCTAAAGGAGTATATTCATTCTAATTGTATCTTAAGGAAAGGCATTTATTCTTCCTAAATATTTTTTATTTATATGTACATTAATTTTCCTTTTAGTCTCACAACAGGCCTAAGTATAATACAAAACAATGTAATTGATTATTGCATTTTGTGTTTACTCCGATTACAGTAAATCTTTTACGGTACAATATTTATCTCACAATCATCATACAAAGCCGGATCATAAAATAAAACTTGGATAAGAGCAGTCAATACAGAACATAAACTCTATTATCAATTCATACTCAGAAAAAAAACCTCTGACTATTTAGGACCTCCGGCTCATATATGCTATGCTTGGTATTCTGGGTCCAGCCTAAAAATTTTTAATTGAGAATAGTTTGAAAAAAAAAAAAGAATTTTATGTTGTTTGGTTTTTTGCCCGCAACACCCAAGGATAAGTAGACATTAAGCCTTTTTGTATGACAGGTATTACTTTACTTAATTTTACTTTTTACTAGCAAACAAGGAGGCATTACTTTATGCCAAAAGAGTAAAATTAGTCCTAAAGCCCTACATGTAATATTAAAACATCAAAGCCAAAACCCCACACACCTTCACAAAAGTATATTGTACTTTTACTTAAGACAGGGACAAATTATATGAACCAAAGCCTTCACTATTCTGCATGGGGTATTAAAACAGAGGCATATTCAGATTTACAGTGGAAATCTAAAACTTGTCATGGTGTAAAGTGCAGTCCACTTCCTTTTTTAATTTTTAGAAAATTAATTAAATACTAATTTCGTGGTCCGCTTGTCCAATTAATATATTACAATTAATTAAGGTTTTTAGTTGAGATAAAAAAGTCAATAACACGAGCGGGATTCGAACCCACGATCTTCGGCTAGATACGCCGGTGCTCTACCACTTGAGCTATCATGACCTCGATCCTCTCGGATATCAACTTCCTATCTCAACCCCACCTTTTGAGTTTTCTCAACTTTTTTATCAGCTAAAAACCTTAATTAATTGTAATATATTAATTGGTCAAGCGGACCACGAAATTAGAGAATTTACTTATAGTTTAGAAGATTAATAACTGAATACTTCTTTCCCAACAAGATCCTAGTATTATATTTTTTCATTAAAAATCCTCTGATTAAGAGGAAAACAATGAAGTTTTCACTTATCATAAAATACAATAGTGGCTTGTGTGTTTTTTTCATAAATTTTGAAAAAGGAAAATAAATACCATCAAAAACATTATTTAAACCTTTTTTGAATAAAAAGGTTTTTGTATAGGTTGATACAGGATACTTAGCTCGTTCTATTGTAATTTAATCTTATCTTTTTTTAAAGAAAAAAAAAGTTGACGAGGTATCTGCTAAAGGAGGCAAATATCCAAAAAAAATATCTCAAGAAAGAGGTGAAAAAATGAAAGACGTCAACCTTTAAAAGCCAGGGAGCGAGCTGTTTTTAATGGATAACAAATTGCGAGGCCATTGGAGGAATGGATAATCCGTCGACTTTTAATTACAAGCCCCGTTTTCCAGAGATGGACGTCGGACAGAGTAACAAATTGGATTTTTTCCGCTTGTTTGCGCACTTGTTGCCATTTCTTTAAAAACTATCGGATAATTAATTAACGGTGGGGATGGCAGAGGGACTTTTTTGCACATTAAGCTACATCCGAGGCACTTCGGTGCGCTGCAATGTTTGGAATTATTCATTCACCTCATAACAGGCAGATAAGAACGTAGATTTGACCAACGTGATAAGTTTGGACACACTTATTAACTTCTAGTGCTTAAACATCCGAAAAAAATTGTACGACTACTGAAAAAATACCAAAAACGCAAAATGTTTCTGTTTTATCTTTATAACTCTTTTTTTATTTATGTTTTAATCGGTTTCTTATAAATGTTTTGTTCATATCTCACCATTTATGTCGCCTTATTCATTACATATGTGTTGAGTGCTCAGCGAGAAATTAGTTTTAAGTCCACTTGTCGGACTTAATAACATAAAACCGGAGTTAAAAAGCCTTTTGAAATTTCTCAAGTACTTCCTCGTATTAACAGGTCTTTTCTAAAACTTTTAAAACCCTTTTCTGTGATCTTTTCTTATCCCTTATAACAGGTCACATTCCACTAACCAAGCTGATTTCAATTTCCAGGGACGGATGCTTAATCACAACGTGGGACAAGGAGTAATCATCAGCAATCAGAGCTTGGTGCTTCAAGGTGTGAGCAGGTCAAGTGCCGGAAATTACACCTGCGTCGGTTTCAACACGGAGGGAGACGGGGAAAGCAAGCCCTTTTACCTCAACGTCATGTGTAAGTTATTAAACATATGCTCAATACGTAAATCAAACCCTCAAAAATAAATTACAAAATTTTGTAACAAATAAACATAAAACATAAAGTAATTTATACGATAACCTGCAAAAAATTTCGAAAATCCAAATAGCTCAATAAATTGATTTTTTTAATGATAATTTGCACGTAAACAATAACCATGTTGCAATATTCATTTTTTCTTTTGTTTACAATTCATTTTATCTTTCTTTTTATGTTTACCAAAAATATGCATGCAAATATTTTTCTATGATTATATATGCTAAACCTTCACGACTGGTTTGTCTTGGTGGTTTAGTCTTATTTATACCACCGCCCACCCAAACACAGGTAGTTACGCATGCTGTATTTTAACTTACCCACTCATTCACTTCAATATTCCGCCATGATACATACACGCTAATAAATACATTCTAAATAAAAGCACGAGCATAAAAACCACGACATATCTTAATAAAATGGCCGTGTTTCTTTCAAAAAGAGGAAGGAACTATCCACATAGTAGTCATATAGTACTCAACTGTCATATCGCGTGGCATTCATACACGCTCTCTATACGGAGCCAAGGAATAACACATTCCAATTATATGGGACGCATCGATTCTTTCTTATTTACCTAGCATTCACTCAAGTAAGGTAGTGGAGTGGTCTCGTCTCCATCACCCTTTAACTTATAAACAAATAAACATACACGAACTAGCCTAATTTAGAACTGATGCGTTGCTTGACATTTCGCCATCTACAATTTTATACTTTTCACACACATTCACGCTTAGAAATACATTCTCACGAAACTTTCACCCCTTACAACTTGGGGACGACAGTTTCGGAGATATTCCGAATGGTAAATGGGGCACGTGTTATAATGCTGAGTTGGGGGAAGGTCGGAGGAGGGGAGATATTCAATTTGAACTGGAAAAAACAGATCAGATATGTTCCAGATTCGAAACCTATCGAGCTAACGCCAATATTTACATTAAATTGTATAAAAATTTAGTTCTCACGAGGATGAGTTGAGCGACTTGTGTGGTTGTATGGCTACAGGTGGAAGGTAAAGTGTGGAATAATTAAAAGATTTTATTCATCCTATGTTACAATTTTGGGTTTGCCTTCTATATACGTTTTGTAAATATATTTCGTTTTAAGTTTAATTTGGTTTCAACAAGTGTCCTTTTATTTGTTTTATTTTACCGTTCCCCGTATCCTATCTTTTTAATTTATTGGTTCACTTCCGATTCCTTTCCTATCCCCCAGTTTTGGAAGTGTCGTACCCTTATTGAAAGAACAACGTCACAAAACGGTTAACACAATTTATCTCTTACCAAACCTTATATAACAAGAAAATTAAGTACAATAAAAAAGAATATCTAAATAAAGTGAATACCCGTTTTTCATTCAAAAATTGAAACATGTGATGAAAGAGATTAGCTGGAGCACAATCTTCATATTGGGTGGCATTTTTTTCAAGCTCTCTATCAAGAGAAAGTAATGACAACCAAACACAACATGCCGGACAAATATACAGGCTTCGGTCCAAAAGTAAGCGTACAGGTGTCCACCTCGCATGACCTATTTTTTCTCGTGTGAAGATAATCCATCTTCTACTAGAGTCCCTATATCGCTTCTATATACCACGTCAAGGAACGACAACTTTCAATTAGGTAGGGTACGTTAAATAATCTAGCTCTGCATGCCGGATACATACACGAGCATTGGCCCAAAAGTATGCGTAGTTGTGACAACCGTATATGGCCGATTCTGAGTCAGGGTGATCTTTCTTCTGCCATTTTGACTTTACGAAGGCAACCTATTGACCATCAAGAGAAGTTTAGTAATTTCTCAACCGATCCAGTGCGATAACGCTGCCATTTTTTTACGTTATTCTTTTTTGCTCGTTTATCATCAGCGGATTGGATCAGCTTGTCCGCTCGTTCGTTGCCCTTCAGCCCGATGTCTCCGAGTACTCAGACAATTACCAACATTGTTTTTGTTTTTATTACTAAGCAGAACCAAACAAGTTTGAAATATCTCGTTTTTACACAAGCAAAGCGCTTAATAAAACTAAAAAATTATCTGCTTTTTCTCATGAATGGGTGAAAAAAATTTGAAAAGCTCTACTCCACGATTGTGGAATATTTCAAACTTAGTTGAAATATACGACCGACACATTTTGAACTAATTCTTTCACCATAATCATCTTTTTCATTTATATAAAAAAAATATACTAACTTTGAGAGGAAATTCTAAGTACTTAAAAACACAATTGTGCGACTGATCTTTAGAACAAGTGGGAAAATAAATTATAACGGAAAAGTTAATATTTAATTAATACCTGACACCTTGGTAAAAAAAACAGGCTAATTAATTATATTTTTAAGGTATACACAAACACATACCAACGACATTCTTCTAAACATAAACAAAATGCATATATTTATATATAAAAAACGTAGTTTCATATTTCTTTGCATGAATAAATAAATATGAGCTTTAATCCTTGTATTTCGTTGTACATTGCATAATATTATACTGGTTTTTGTATGTCAAATACCAATGTTCTTCAATAAAGAAAACACGATTTCATATTATGATCTTTCAGGTAGGGAGGAAACAGCATAGAAGCATGCTTGGGTTTTGCATAGGTTGCTGTTTTTTGTTTCAATTTTTGTTCAAACTATATTATTATTTTAAAAGGTAATGCTGTTTTTTACAAAACAAATATATTCTAATCTTTAATGGGCAGGGAGGCATTTTATTATATTATTACACGTTAGGATATTGCAGATTCCAACATCTGACAGTTGGCTCGATCTGACACACTTACTTTGATTACTCTTGCGAGTAATATCGAAGAACATGTCCATGGAACTACCATGGAATTAATGGTATGCTCGGTTCATTGAATCCCACGGTCGCCCAACTTTCTAGACGTGATTCAGAGTGCCTGAGGGCATTTTAAACAACGGTACTACTTTGTATAACAAGCACATTGAGGCAAAATACATACGGGGGAGTAATAGTGTTAACATACCGTTAAAGTATTGCATTGTACTTTTGGAATAACTAGATTCATGTTGTTTTTTGTTTTTTATTTGTTCCGACCAGAGTCGCGTTATTAAAGTACAAAAGGAAAAGTTACCTAGTCGACTACATTTGTGGCTGGTAGTGAAACCTGACGGTTCCAAACGTTCATTCTAGCACAAAGGCAAATTGACGAGGGATTTTCAATTTTCAATCCTTTGTAGGGAAATCGGCTGGTATTTCGGCTCGCCGGAACGATTCGACATGTGTCGCCCGGTTCATTAACCTCATTGCTAATCGTTGAGTGATGGATGTCGAGAGGGTAGTACAATGAAGCCCAACAACCTTTTACGACCCTTCAGCCTCCGGCCTTTTAAGCTCTTTGTTCTCTCGACTTTTTTTTAACCCGCATATTTCATCTCATCTGACATTTTCAGACGCGCCGACTTGCAAACCCAACCAGACGAGAGTGCACGGCGTGGCAAAGCAAGAAAAGGCTAATATCTCATGCGAAGTCGACTCGAATCCTGCCGAAGTGACGTTTCGATGGACTTTTAACAATTCTGCCGAAAACATGGAAGTCGCCTCGACGAGGATAGAACGCCATGGCACCTCGAGTATGGTCACATACACACCCATGTCCGAACTTGACTATGGAACCCTACTTTGCTGGGCGACCAACCGCATTGGTCACCAAAGAGTACCCTGCGTCTACCACATAATCGCTGCAGGTAAGTTTAGTCAGAATTTATAGAATACAACAGAATATGTATTTCTCTATTATCATTAGAACATTATATTATTTTGTGGATTTAAATAAAACAAGAAATGTGACCACACACGAGGTTTCAGAATGTTACATTTCCTAGTGTGTTATATAGGTTATTAGTCTATTTACACTATCATAATTATGACTATCGTATGTTCATATTACAAATCCCTGTTAATAAACACATTCAATAGTCATATGTACAAAATACGAGATATCAAATATTATACGAATGTTTCCTACAAAAATAGGAACATGGCACCACACCCTATTCTCATATCGGGTGGGAGTGCTACACGCTCTCTATGAGAAGTTAAGGAATGACACCCTTCATCGAGCTACGTTTCTCTCCACATACGCGAGTTTTGAAGTAACCATTTACTCTTCCTTGGCCCAAAAGGAAGTGTCAACATTTCATGACCTATTAACCATGCGAGGATGATCCCTCTTCTACTACCCTAGACCTGTTACTGTAGACTGTTACAGTTAAGGCGCATATACGCATTTATAATCTTACTATTTTAACTTTACAGCCCTTAACCCTAACCCTATTTTAACTTTAACCTAAACCTAACCCTAATCCTAACTCTAATCATTAATTTAACCTCACCTTAATCCTAACCTCTGTATAACACCAATCTTACATAACCTTGACCCTACCTAACCTAACTTGTCCTAAACTTCCCAACCAATATGCTACCAATTTTAGCATTTCTCATTTAACCTAAGACAACCATGTGCAGTAACGCAAATCGATGTCGCAAACATGGTATAATAAAAGAATGGGACTCCAGCCCAAAAATTAATGATAAACCATAGCAAAACATTTTTTTTAATATATACTTTCATTTGTCTCACATATGAACATATTACTTCGGGAGTAGGAAAACTTTTAAAAAAGTAAGCATTCATGAAATCATGTCAAATATATATATAAAAATAAATGCTCCATTTTGACATGCTGAAAGCGTTTTAAATGCTTAATTAATTAGTGCATGTACGTTCACACACATATAAAAAATTAGTTAATTAATTAACGTTTTTAGTTGAGATAAAAACTCAGTGTCACGAGCGGGATTCGAACCCACGTCCTTTGGCTAGATACGCCGCTGCTCTACCACTTGAGCTACTGTGACTTCGATCCACTCGGACACTAACTTCCCATCTCAACCCCACCTTTTGAATTTTCCCTCCTTTTTGCCACTCAAAAAAAAGGTGGGGTTGAGATGTGACGTTGGTGTCCGAGTGGATCGAGGTCACGATAGCTCAAGTGGTAGAGCAGCGGCGTATCCAGCCGACGATCGTGGGTTCGAATCCCGCTCGTGCCATTGACTTTTTATCTCAACTAAAAACCTTAATTAATTGTAATATATTAATTGGTCAAGCGGACCGCGAAAGCTAAAAAATTAAGGTGGATCAGATTGGGAAATGCTATAACAAACACACAAATTCAAAAATACACGTACATTCTAATAATCCATGTACATTTCCACTACACTATTTTTACACGCTTTTACTATTGTTAGAATGTAATACTAATGTACTACAATTAAGAAATTTTTTACGGAATTGGAACTTTATGTAACCTTTACCTTAGAAAAACTACTATTTTCAATTTTTATAAACTGAAAATATTGCAATTATCATGTAAATTAAGATCTGATAAATCAACTGCGATCTATCTATTTTCACTGTCTTTTTTAGTCGTGAATGATACATCAATTATTACAAAAATATTTATACGACTTAATATATGTAAGTGTGAAAAATAAATAAAATTCGGTGTTACAATGAAATTTTTTTACGTCTTACAAAATTTATTAGATTATATCTAGATCAAACAAGTTTTTTATCCTTTAAAAGACCATCGTCGCAATGTCATTCATGAAGTAAAATTATTCGATTTATCTTATGTGAAAGTGTTTTAGTTTTCGGCTGAACATTTTATGCAAACGACTTGACAAGAAAATTACCAATTCCACCGAGAGGCCACAGGTTGACCCCATGTTCTAATTATTTTACTGATCCTAATCCTTAAAGCCGTTTCTATTACTAAAGTACGATAAATGTCCCGATTACAAAAAAACATTGAATTCAATAAAAATGGAACCAATATTTAAAATATTATATATTATTTTATACAATCTTCTCTGTCTTTATATTTATTTTTTACAACTCTCTCCTTCTTACTAACGATCTATCTGTTTATCCTTTTCTAATTATCTACATCCAGTGGAGTAATCAGTGAGTGGAGTCAAATCATTTTGAAATGAACACCAACAAAGGCATAGAGTGTAAGTGGATGAAAACATAAATAAATTAAGGGCTGATCTGCATCGTTTTGTAAACACATTCGCATCGGCTGTTTCCTGTGATGAACATTAACAAAACTAGGACACACTAGAGATATTTACGATTTACCACCATAAAGCAATGTATATCATTTTGTGACAGGGGTTGGCAATGGTAGAGGTCATATTAACCCTCAGGTTATTGGTGTTTTTGAAAAAAGCCTATTTGTAAATAGGTCGGGTTCGAATCCAGGGCCGGTGGTTTCGAACCGTGGACCTTTACCTTACAGACATGTGGGCCGTATAAACGCCTTACCGTTGTGGCCACCCCCTGCAAATCGTTATTACAATTATTGAACACTATAATAGTTCCAAAATAGCAATTACAATATATGGAGTTGTTAAATTGTTATAAAAACGATTAACAATTATTATTCCTAATTTGAAATAATATTGGTTTTATAACTTCGAATGTTAGAATAAACAAGTATCAAATATTTATTCAGATTCATTTTTATTTTTGTAATCCTATCTTCTTTGTGATTTGTAAATTAAAATATGCGTTACAAATATAAACATTTGGTTATTTTCCATTTTCTTTGATTAGTTTACAATTGGTTTTTTATGTGTACTTGCTTTTATGCTACAGTTAAAAAAAAAAGTTATATTTCACGTATTTTTTCATTTTTATGTGTGCTAAACCTTCATGACTCGTTGGTCTTGCTGGTTTAGTATGTTCTAACGGACGAAGTAATGCGTAAGTAATTAGGGTGGATAAGAACATTTTAACCAAGTAAATTTTTATTTACTGTTTAGGATTTAATCAATGGATGTGTAATATTTAAGTGTACAAACAAAAATGGTAAATCGCAAAATATCGAAATCAGTATTAAAAATTGGACGTTAATGAACTTAGAAAACGCTGAAAGAGGACACATTCCTGCCCAATTACCTCTGCTAAACCAAGTCCGAAACCAGACCCGATGAAAAAAAAGGAAAAGGCACGACAGGGCAGCGGTGGGGTAGAAGTCGGCTAATAGAGTCTTGGAGGAAAGTTGTTCGACACTTCTACGCCCGAGGAGTTAGAAAGTACCCTGCAGAGGGCTTAAAGTGTATGCTAAAAAGTTCCCGAAGGGTCGGATCTTACTTCTCCTCCCATAAAAAAGGACTTCAATGTCTGTTCCTCCCATCGAAGCTCGTCTGTGGGTCTGAGGAATTAACTCCAGCGGACTTTGCTTTTACTTAAAGTGATTTCGGTTTATTCGATTACCTAGGAGAAAAGGATAGGAAAACATCTTGTCTCGGTTTTTAGAATTGTAATCAACATCGGCCCCTTGCGTTTCTCGTTAATTATTCAAGACGGTAATTATCGATGAATATTTTTACATTTTTTTTCCATACATTCAATTTGTATTTATAACGAAAATAAGTAGCGTTTCCGGGGAAAAAACAAAGGGAGTACAAATGAATACTATTTTGGGAATGTTATTACGTTAGACGTTAGAAAGAAATATAAAAAAGAATTAACATTTCTTTGCTTAAATAAAAAACTTTAAAAAAAAATATTCTTAATAGAATTTTACAACAGCTTGGCTCCATCCAAATAATCTCGTCTTTTCGTCATATCTACATTGTATATTTTACTCTTTGTCTTCAATGTATTGACGATTATGTTTTTGAAAGTAAAATTTTTCTGTTGACAAACATTTTTTTTGTGTCCTAATTAAATTGATTAAGGAGCAGCCAAGTAAACAAATTACTCAAGGGGATACCCGAGCCCTTAACGAGTTAACGATGTAATAAAAAGAAATTAACTCTTAGGCCGTTGAATGTGAAAAGTACAAGTCCATTAATTGCCAATAGATTACAATTTGTACGATCCAACTTTTCCTCTCTTTAAGATCCCAAAGGAACGAGAGGTCAGAGATATTGAAGGATCCAATCTTCTAGTTCTCAGGAGTTTATTGACTCTCGTAAACCTCTTCGACTTTTTTTTACGTCAACTGTTCTTTTCGTCTGCCCCCGACCATATTGCCCTCTTCTGATCGATAGACACAAGTTGGAAATTTGATTAGGCAAGTACGTCACCAGGCGGAAAACAATTTCACCGAAATTCATGTTTCAAGGAAATCTATTGCAAAGATTCAAATTCAGAGTTCAATGTAAACAGAAAGAAAAGTTGGACAAAATTTTATATCAATCACACTTAACAGATTCACAATTCTTTAGTTCATTAAAATTGACATGGATGTATGCTTTCGTAGAGAGAGAACACAGAGAACAGAAAGAAGTTTGAAAACGAAATGAGTTATGAATATTTTTATCAGCTTTTTTTTCTTGTAACGTTTACTTTGCATTTTTCTCCTGATTTTATGAGAGACATAAATTAATTCCACCTTCAAGACTATTTCATTACCAAACGAAATTGTATTCCTCTATACAATTCTCCCTTTTCCAATCCTTCTATCTCTCGTCACTCNTCTCTCTATCCCTCCCACCCTCTCCCTTCCTCTTTCTTTCTGTCAGTATGTATATACAATCTACCTACCTATCTCTATATCAATACTTCTTTATTGATATATCTCTATCTACATCGATCTACCTATTTTCTCTATCTCTCATCTTTGTTTCTTTGTAACAACAACTCATCATTTGTACGTAATATTTCCTG